TGGGGTTGTGGGGTGTGGTTGTTTGGGGGTTTGTTTGAGGTTGGTGTTTTTGGTGTTTGTTTTTTAGCTTTCTAAATTCTCTGTTCTTTGCACTCTTCCCCCTTCCCATAAGATTCCTTATTCGGAGTAATTATTGTTTTCTACACACCCTTTCACCGAGGCATAAGAACTGGGTTTCCCCTTCAGTAGCTCCACTGTACCTTGCTAAGGAACACCTGCCACAGGGCTGCCTGTGAAGCCACAGAGCACCAGGAGGAAGCCTAGCCTAGCCAAGCCCCCTTTCTGATAAATTGTTGTGACACTTGCCTGCATACTGTGAGCCGGGCATTGTTTCTTTTGTGTGTGTGCTCCATAGAAACCATACCCATTGACAGCACACGCATCTTAAGACCTTTTTAAAAAGCAGTATAAGGAAAAGAAATTGTTGGTTTGCCTAGCATGAAAACTTTAATCACAATTGAGTGTTAGGCTCAGAATCAAACTCTAGGATTTGGGGGCCCACTGTGCAAGTATTTCTAACTAGAATCCCACTCTGGCCTTTCTACAGAAGCCCATGATTTGTCCAGAGAGGAAACCTGCTATTTCTGATTTACAGAGGAGGCCATGTTTATTGCTTGTGTGGAATGGAGATTCTTCCTCAGTTCCCGAAGGTTTCCCCACTTCCCACGTCAATTCTCAGTCCTGTGTTAAGTGATCCAGCCCCTGTCATACGTCCGTCCTGTCTGAAAATCAATGGCCCTCCAGCAGGGGTTGTCTTTTCCCTTCATTTATACATTGTTGCAGGAAGCACCCAGGCACTCACACAGTTGAGCTTGAGTGCATCTATCGTTCCTATAACTGTGTTGTTAGATATTGGATTATACTACCAAAGAAATATTGGTTTCAGTAGAAGAAAACCTTTCAGAGTGTTACAACTTCTCCCAGATGCTCCTGTCTCCCTCTCAACTGTGTCCACTTCCTGGTTATTTTCCCTGTGAAAGGGCCTCCCTCCTCTTGGCCTGGATATAGAGCTGTGGGACCAGTGAAGCTTCTATATTTCTCAAAAGGATGACTTTTTAATTCCCTTGCACTGTTGGCCAGTGGAGAGATGGGGCTACTCTAATCCTCCCACATGTATTTGTAAATAAAATTCCCCATTCAGAATTTTTAAATGGCTCTCAGTAGCACCTGTTTATAAAAGTTGTGGCCTCCACTTGCACTGCTAAACACTCAGCAAACAATAATTAGCTGTCAATGATTAGGAGATGCTTCCTCTCTGAACTGACGTCCCTCAACAGTTCCACTCATCAGGGGATTGGATACTTCTAGAAAAATCCTAGGATGTGTTTGTCTATATGACGTGTTCTTCTCTGAACAGTTTCTAAACCTGTTTTAAAAGTATAACTCAAGAATTTAAAACTTATTCTGAACAAGAGTTGAAATTCCTTTTTATAATATAAGTATTTTTCTGATAGATTAGCAAAAAGGACTAATTGACTTCCTTATTATAATTGTCATATATATATTTCCATAAGTAAATAAATTTTGAGGAATTTTTTATTTTTGAACTTATTTAAAGCATTTGTGATGACATGTTCAATTTTTGCTTGTATGTAGCTTTTGAGTAAAAATAATAAAATAAAATAAAATAAATAGGAATGTTAGGCTCACGTTAATGATTTCGAGTTTCTATTGTTTATGAACATGAAACATGACAAGCACACAAAGTAGATTTTCATCCCAGTAAACTTCTGCAACAGTTTCTCTCTGGAAAACACTAAACATGAGCAGTATTTAGCCTGCCTAATGTTCAGAACCTGTCATCTGGATTGCTTTGAGTGGATTTTGTCAAATTTTGCTTTGGAAATGGTTTTAATTGAATATTTAGTCATAATTAACTTTGTGAGAACTAAGCTGACTTAAGCAGTTTAAAGCCTTTCATTGCCTCCTTAAAGAACTTGATGCTCTGGGGAGATAGAGGCAACATTTGGGGACATGTGACTTGGTATCAAAGCAGTTCAGCCATGTAGGCCACTGCTGGGGCAAGTGTCATTCCAGTAAAATCTTGGTCCTTTAACCAAGTCCTGCAGGTACAGCCCTGTCTGCTCTGCAGAGAGCCATACAGAAGCCAAGGGGCTTGCTTCCTTACCCAGTAATCCTTCAGTCTGTGAGGCAGAGCAAGGAAATCTGGTTAAAACTGGCCTGTTTTCTCCTCCATTATATTAGCCCCTCGATTGCCATATTACAGGCTCTTGCTTACTTACATTGGGAAAGATGCACCCACTGAATCAGGACACATAGTAACCATGAAAGACTTGTCCTTGAAGCATTTCCATGACTTTTAAATATTTTCTGAATGTTTTCAAGATTTGCTCTTTCACCTCATTTATCTCCTGTTTCTGAATTGACACAGCAAACCTACAATGCTATAACTTAATTCATGCTTCCCATGAGAGAGAACAAACATGAGAAGGAAAACAAGACTATGAGAAACCATGAGGTTACGTTCTCTAGACCCTCCTTTGCTTTAACATGTTTACACTGTACATACAATCATAAACTTCACGATAGAAGGAACTTCAGATGTCATTGCATGCATTAGACACAATATACAATATAGTAACCGAGCCCTGACTGAACTTAACCCAGTTTGAAGGATGGAGATCTAACCATCAGGAGAGCTGGGCACTGAAGTCTGTGAACTATAGGTTTCCATGTAGGGAAGACAATAGTGTCTATCAGCCTATCTTTCCCAACAAGTCACCCTGATCAGTTTGAGCCCCTGGCCCACTCTGGCTCTAGTAACATATACTCAGACATTCCCATGTCAACAGCTGCTTATTTAGTCCCACTCACTCCGATGACTGAATGGCATTAGATTTGGGGTCTGGATTTCATTGTAGTGTGACAGGAAGTGGATCTCTGCTGTCAGATGCTCCACTCCCCAACTTTGCTACTTACACAAAGCTGGCAGCTCTCACAATGATCACATGGTGGCGCTGCCTTCCAGCTCACCGTTCTGGACCAGAGTCGGAATGAGTCTTGCTATGTGTGTGGGATTAGTTTAAGATCTTGCTGCATGCTGCTATAAGGATATTACAAAACTTTCTTTACATACAAATCATACTTAGTGATAGGCATTTAATTCCCATGCGCCTAATAGAAACAAATCACAGACAGAATGCTCCAGACACACTTTTAAAAATCTCAGCTCCTAGCCTCTCCTTGGCCTTTTAAGTAGTTATGAAGAGAAAAAAATAAACATTAAGAATACAGGGAGTGTTTTATCAATATTTGATTAGCATGGCTAATAATGACAAACTATTAGGGTTCCTTTCTTTTTAGATAATATCAGAATTCCTTGAGGAATGCAAATCTGTAAATCTGTCCTTCTTCCCTGTATTACGTGAAAGTAGAGGACCCTCAGTATGTTGTTTATTTCTAAATATTGAGATCACCTCAACTTACTCTTAAGAGTTTGGTGGCTCAGGGCCATGCAAAGCCTGGATGGGTATCTCAAGAGCCAGGAAGAGTCACAAAGTAAAGGGATGGGGGAAAGGGGAATGAATAGAAAAATCCCTTGGAAAATGAGCTGCTAGGGCAGTAAGATGGGTTCCCTTTCATCCCTCAAGGAAAAAATCTGAATGGATTCCTTAACCATCTAAGTAGGTTAGCTTTCCTGGGTATTTTTGTTTTGTTTAGATTTGGTTTTTATGAAGACGTCTTACATTTAGTAGTCTGCTGAGACCAGAAGTCATTATCCTTCATGGTGCTGACAGGACTCAAGATTTAAAAGAAAACCCAAAGACATGGAATCTGAGAGTGGAAGGGACCTTCGAGATCATTCAGCTGTGTGTCTGACTGGTTAGCACACAGAAGGACCACTGGGGCGATAGCTTATCAAGCACATTCCACAGCTTCACCCTGGAGCTTGGGCATCTGCATTTTGAGCTAGCACATTGCAGGTCTTTAGACCCCACTTTGAGAACCTCTGATTCTGTCCAATCTCTACATATGACAGGTGAGGAACTCAAGCTATCCCAGACACCCTGATAGGGTGAACACCAACAATCTTGGGGAAAACCATTACTACTTAAATAGAAGATATTCATACATAAGAAGTTTATGGCTAGGACCACAGCAGTCGTAAGTAGCCCATTTCTGGAAGTCCATAGTATAAACCTTTAATACAGAACCATGGCTTTTCTCTTTTTCTAAATAACATTCCAGCCTGTTAAGAGAAGAAAAATTAATGTTCAGAAAAGAGTAGCTACTCCATATGTGCAGTAACTACTTTTCTATAATGTCTTATGGCGTCTGGGGTTCAGCATCATTGAACAAGATTAAATGAATGTTACAGAGCTATAAAAACGCATGTAAAATACCGCAAAACTGTTCAGAGGACTATCAAAGTAGCCGGGGAATGAGTTTCCACTAAAATTAATTGTCACTTTCCAAACGTAGCTTAGCCAAGCTGTTACTAAACTGGAGGGAGTCTTTAATACAAGTGTTAAAAAAGAATCAAACAGGCATTCCCCAAAGCATGTGGATGGTAAGCAAAGGTCATCATGAAGTCAACACTTCTTCGTCCATCATTGCTACTGAAATTTATAGTCTCATTGTATCTGTGTGTGTCAGATGTGCTTATTAGAATATCCAATAAGCTGGCCTTTGGATATTCTATGCTCTGTGTCCTTCTGAAATCATGGGTTTGCAGGAATGTGTGTTACATGTTACTGTTTTGGTTACTGCCACCACCACCACAACAACAAACAGTTGACTTATTCATTTAATGAAACAAATTTCCAGCTATAACTTTGAACACCAAGGTTTGATGTCTTTTCTTGAACATCTGTTTGGGAAGAAGTGTTTTATTTGGAATTTGTTAAACTGGCAACTTTTGTGTTAACAAAAATGATCCTGAAATCAAGCTTCAAGGTTTCTGGTGGGTAATTAATGTATCTATTGTTATATGCAAAGAGGCAGTTTTTACTAAAAGTGGAAAAAGAAAAAGCAGAGTGTAGTTTTATCACTGTAGAATGAATGAGCACTATTGAAGACTATGAATGCATTAATACACATGTAACATGCTATTCTCAAGTGGAGACGTTTTGGGAGCAAATATTAAATTCCCTTCAAATTTCTCAGACTGTAACCAGGCAATGGGGCTTTCAACCACTGTATGTGTTTTTTAAGCCCTGTTGATTCTGACTCCTTGGTATTCACTAACCCTAAGTCACCATGACCTTGCAGTACCCTCTGGGAGCATCTGTTCCCACTGGATTAGTACACAAGAGAATTTCAAATTTAAACTCATTGCACACACTTCAGCTGGCGGCATCTAGCAACGTTTGTCCCGTGTTTAAAATCTTATCAGTGGGCTTGAAAGTGATTCATTCTTTCAAGCCGTCTTACCTGTGTAAGCCAAACCAGGTTTGCTTGCCTCATGTTTCAGATGTACTTACACCCCTCCCCCTCCTCCACCACCCCATTTTATACCATCTGTGCCCTGTGCAGTCTGGGACCCCTTCACATCTGGCTACAAGCTGGCGCAATGCCCTTCCTTTTGATCTGGTCTCATCTAGTGATTTGCTCAGTATTTTTAAGGTCAGACTGAAAACTTTTTTCTGTTCTAGTTATTTTTGATTTTATATCTGTGTGTGTTTGATGTTCAGATACATGTGAAAGTTGCTCCTATCAGCCAGTAATTTTTATTCCAGCCTTTTGCAGCAATAAGGTAAGTCGAGCCTGTGTTCTTCTCATTCAAACACGTAGTGATTTATATGTTTGGTGCAAATGTTTATTCGTACCAGAGTCTTTGCTGTTTTTGCATCTGGGACTCTCTTGCTATGAATTTATTACATTCCTTCTTTTTTTTTTCAAGAAAAAATTTTAGAGTGTGCTTAAGAGTTACTGTTTCTCAGGACTTGATTTTGAGATCTTTGCTCATCTGTCGCCACTAATTCTTACTCTGGATTTGGGTTCATGTCATAAAAAACAAGAATACTTTTTCATCTTCTGGGTTTAAAATCTCATGGAGTTGCATGCAAATCTTAATCTTAACTGTGTTTCAAATATATGTATGGTGGTTGTCGTAACCCTGTTCATTCTAGCACAACTCTCTACCAAATGGCTGTAACGTTCATGGGCTCCTTCACAGTGCCCGGCGTATAGCAGTGTCTATGTGACTCCTTGTTTCTGGTTTATGGAATGAATGCAGTTGCCATAGGACTCATCTTGGTCTCATGGAAAACATTTTGCATATTCAAATTCCTTTTTTTAACCTTTTATTCAGAATAGCTTAAATACATTACATCTACTACTTTTCTTTCTCTTTGGGTACTACAGTGTGTCCGTGTGGTTCCGTTGTACCACCTAACCAAGCAACATGAATTGATTCTTCCTTTCTGGTTGCATAATACATCCTCTCAGAGCAAACAGAAACACCTGAAAACGCTTGTGTCTTTCATTCATCTCTATGGTTTCCTATCTTACTGTAGGGGCAAGCAATTCAAGATTATGAGTGTGATGCTCAATTAATTTTAACACAGCAGATTTAGTGAAATTTTCGA